ATAGGTTATATATCCAACATCTAGACAGCAAGCTTCTTGGTCACCGGACGACCTACCTAGAACAGTGGCTTTTACCTTGCATCAAGGATCCAGTGTCACAAGCATGGACTTTCATCCGTCCAACCATACATTATTGCTAGGTGTGATTGTTTGTCGTCATGTTTGGCTTTTAAAGTTCAAGTAATATTATAAATAAGGCCCTATTTAAATAGGTTGCCTCACCCCTGGGCTTTCTTCCATTCTCTTCTGAGTCTTCTATAACTTTATTTTATGTCTGGCAGTTGGTTCTAATAATGGTGACATTACTCTTTGGGAACTTCTGTTGCGTGAGAGGTTGGTTTCAAAGCCATTCAAGATATGGGATATGACAACATGTTCATTGCAATTTCAGGTCATCTTTTAGTCATGTTTTTTTTGGAGGGTTAAGATTTGATTTGGTATTAAATTTTTATGGTCTAGTGTTAATTAAAGCCATGTGATGGAAGCACTTTTGGTCTTGCCTATACTTTAGTATAGTTATCAGATATTTAAAACGTACGTATTTAACAGTTTAGTTTTTGTACAGGCCACAATTGTCAAAGACACCCCGATTTCTGTCAGCCGTGTTACATGGAGTCCAGATGGGAGCTTTGTGGGTAGGTACATTTTGAAGATTGAAATTATTTCTTGAAGAGTTGTATGTATATCTTATTGTTTTACTTGCTACAGGGGTTGCATTTACCAAACATTTGATTCACTTGTATGCTTATCATGGATCTAACGATCTACGCCAACATGTGGAGGTGATATGATATTATGATAATTTTTCAGATTGATCAAGAAAGCTAAATTTATAACTGCTGCTCAAATTGTATCCCTTTTCTTTTTGCAGGTTGACGCCCATAATGGTGCTGTGAATGACTTAGCTTTTGCTCATCCAAATAAACAACTGTGTGTTGTGACCTGTGGAGAAGATAAGCTAATAAAGGTAGAATTATAATTCTAATCACAAGATTTTAATTTAATTACAAAGTTTCCACTTTATCTAAACGAAGTGAAACAGGTATGGGATTTAACAGGACGAAAACTATATAACTTTGAAGGTCATGATGCGCCCGTCTATTCAGTCTGTCCTCATCACAAGGAGAACATTCAGGTATGTTTGCAAAATGGAGAAAGCATTTGTTTTGTTGATTAATTTGTTATTAGTGTTTGGAAGCAAATGCTTTTGTGTAAGTTTAACTTAAATTTATATAAGTTTTCTCATTTACTGAATTTTGAGAATTTAGACATAAGTATATAGGAATAAGAAAACATTCTTTATGGATTTTACTTATCTAAAAACTAATTGCTTAGATTTATTGGCCGAGGGTCTCTTTTTGAAACTTTTTTGAATGTTTGACTTGAGTACCCTGCTTCCTTGTCATCTACTTTTCTCATCACCACGTGCAATAAGAAGTGTACTTCTGAAATTTCAGTTCATATTTTCAACTGCTATTGATGGAAAAATAAAGGCCTGGCTGTACGACAATTTGGGTTCTAGAGTTGACTATGATGCTCCTGGCCAGTGGTGTACCACAATGCTATACAGTGCAGATGGAAGTCGGTATGAAAATTTTAAAATATGGACCTCTACAAATTGAGTATTTAGTAAAAAAAAGTTATTACTCCTTTTTATCTCGCAGTTTTGACAAACATATGAGTTATTCATCACAGTTGAAATGTCTTGTCAAAACTTATGTAAGTGCCATCATTTCGTATTATCCTTCAGATTGATTATTATTATTATTATTATCATCATTTCAGATTGTTCTCTTGCGGAACAAGTAAAGAGGGAGAATCATTTCTAGTTGAATGGAATGAAAGTGAAGGAGCAATAAAGAGAACATATTCTGGATTCAGAAAGAAATCAGCAGGGGTTGTGCAGTTTGACACAACACAGAATCATTTTTTGGCTGTGGGTGAAGATAGCCAAATAAAGTTTTGGGATATGGACAATAACAACGTTCTGACTAGCACAGATGCAGAGGGTGGACTTCCAGTCAGTATTTTGTTATAATTTCTAGTTTATTTCTTAAACTCCCCTCCCCTGGATGTCGATTTAGGGCATGATATCATTATATTATATGTTTCAGAGCCAACCTCGCTTGAGATTCAACAGGGAAGGAAATCTTCTTGCTGTCACAACAGCAGACAATGGATTCAAAATACTTGCAAATGCTGTTGGAGTGAAAACGCTGAAACTTATGGAATCCACCACATCTTTTGAGGGACTAAGGCCTCCCATTGAATCTACTGTTATCAAGGTTTTAATCATTTATTTGGTCGTGTTTTTATTATCATTTTTTTCTTCATTACCTCTTCAAGACCTTATTATTTGTGTCTAAATAGGCATCTGGCTCGCCGTCTGTTACAAATGTTAGTGCGGTCAATTGTAAAGTGGAAAGGAGCTCTCCTGTTAGGTCTACACCAATTCTTGTATGTCAGTTGATCTTTCTAAATGTTTTTTCTTTTTATTTATTTTCAAATATTCTTGGTAAAGTGGCATAGCATTCATTTGATTATTTTGGCTCTATTTCAAGCTTGGAATTGATCACATGAGTAGAAGTTTCGAAAAAATGAGAAGTCTGGATGATGCAATTGATAAATCCAAGATCTGGCAGTTGACTGACATTCAGGATTCTGCACAGTGCCGGCTAGCTACCATGCCTGACACAACAGATACTTCCAGCAAGGTGTGTTAAGTATTTCATGCTTATCACATTCTATTGTGACATTTATATGCCATGATATTCTTAAACCATTGCATTTAAATTTAGGTTATTCGACTCCTATACACAAATTCTGGTACTGGCATTTTGGCACTTGGGTCAAATGGTGTGCAGAAGCTGTGGAAGTGGGTCCGTAATGAACAAAATCCAAGTGGAAAGGTAATAGCTAACCTAGAAGAAGTGTTCAATCATCTGTTTTTCCTCTCTTTTTCATCTAGTTCAGTGCATCTTCTGAAGTTTGTTGGTGTTTAAAGGCCACTGCCAGTGTTGTTCCACAGCATTGGCAACCGAACAGTGGTCTTCTTATGACTAATGATGTCACAGGAGTTGACCTTGAAGAAGCAGTTCCGTGCATAGCACTCTCAAAGAATGACTCCTATGTAATGTCAGCTTGTGGTGGAAAGGTCTCATTATTTAACATGATGACATTTAAGGTAAATCGACATACAGTCTAGAAAATTTTCAAAATATTGGGATCCTTTTTTATGGTTAACCATATGAGTTTCTTTGAGTTGTAGGTAATGACAACATTCATGGCACCTCCTCCTGCATCCACCTTCATAGCATTCCATCCTCAGGATAATAACATCATAGCCATTGGAATGGAAGATTCTACCATCCACATTTACAATGTTAGACTTGATGAGGTAATTACTTATCAGTTTTTTCTCCATTTCCTATGCTTTAATCTTATTTTCTTTCTTGTCTCAAAACTATGAATTCCATATGTTGCATTGCTAAAGGCCTACATGATTTATCTGTTAATTTTAGGTGAGATCAAAAATGAAGGGTCACCAGAAGCGGGTAACTGGTTTAGCTTTCTCAACCAATCTTAATATACTCGTTTCGTCTGGTTCTGATGCTCAAGTAAGTAAATTTTTTGGTTATTTTGATAAAATGCCCAGTAACCCATTGGTGTTGTCTTTTCCAAATCTAAACTATACATTTAACTGCAACCTGCAGCTCTGTGTGTGGAGCATTGATACATGGGAGAAGAGGAAATCAGTTGCAATACATATACCTTCTGGAAAGGCACCTGCTGGTGACACTCGAGTGCAATTCCATTCTGACCAAATTCGCTTGCTGGTGGTTCATGACACGCAACTAGCCATATATGATGCCTCAAAGATGGATTGCATCCGACAGGTAGAAAGTTTACTCTGATTTTTTAGTTAAACCAGGGATGATCCAATATTTGTTACTATAACTTTGTTCTTCCATCTCAGTGGCTTCCACAAGATGTACTTCCTGCACCCATATCTTATGCAGCATACTCCTGCAACAGTCAACTAGTATATGCTGCCTTTTCTGACAGTAACATAGGGGTGTTTGATGCTGATACCCTAAGACTTAGATGCCGCATTGCTCCATCAGCATACCTATCCCAAGCAGTCTTGAATGGGTAAGCTGTGGAGAACTTACCATGAATTTTAAGGTTCTTGATCCAATCTTTTTTAACTAATCCTGCCGTGTGCTACATTGTAGAAGCCAAGCTGTGTTCCCGCTTGTTGTTGCAGTACATCCACAAGAACCCAACCAGTTTGCTGTCGGGTTGGGCGATGGCTCTGTTAAAGTTATTGAGCCCACCGAATCAGAGGGGAAGTGGGGATTGTCCCCGCCTATTGAGAATGGAACACTTAATGGAAGAGCAGGATCGTCGTCGACCACCAGCAACCACACACACGATCAAATACAAAGACGAGAATAGTTTTAAGTTCTTAGGACATGTCCTGAGCTGTAATTTCTCAGTATAGAATGTTAGGTTTTCAGTTGCTCATTTGTCCCTTATCAAAAAGATAAGTTTGGATGTAGGTTGATATGTGGATAGAGACTAGGGACACATTTAGTTGTTGTAACTCATAATTCAGAGGCCAAGGAAAATGGTCATCTCACAAACGAATATGATGTTTGGTTATCTATCTATTGGTTCTTGTTTCCCATAAAAATGCTTGCATATGAAACTACAAGAACACCCTTAATCCATGGCTCAACGGTCAACCAGCGGGTTGATGTGAAATTACAAGAACAATAGCTTAACGGGTTGAAGTGGTATATCTATGAGGCAAAGTAAACGACACGTCGTTTTAGACATGGCGGGAATAATTCCTTTCAATCCAAAACGCACCGTCCAACTCCTCAGACTATATTCAATGTCTCTATTTATCTCTATCTCACACTCTGATTTTAGGGTTAGGGTTTATTTGCCCCTCTCACGCTTCGTCCACTTTCCATTTCTCTCGTCTTCCGGTTATGGCGAACCGTACAGACCCGTCCGCAAAGAGCATAAGGGGGACGAACCCGCAGAACCTGGTGGAGAAGATCGTACGGTCGAAGATATACCAGAACACGTACTGGAAGGAGCAGTGCTTCGGGTTGACGGCCGAAACCCTAGTGGACAAAGCCATGGAGCTCGACCACATCGGTGGGACCTTCGGAGGGAACCGTAAGCCCACGCCTTTCATGCCCCTCGTGATGAAGATGCTTCAGATCCAGCCCGAGAAGGAGATCGTTATCGAGTTCATAAAAAACGACGACTACAAGTGAGTTTTACTGTCCAGTTAACTAATTGCTTTTGATAGTAACTGTAATTGGTTTTGGACGTGCTTATGTGATTGACAATGTGCATGCTCTGTTAGTTAGGAGAATTCGTGTTGAAGGGAAAGGAAGGGGAATTTGTGGAGTTTTGTGGGTTTTGCTGAGAAACCCTTATCCGAAAGGTGTGTTTTAGACGTTGAATTATTTCAGATGCGGAATGAAATATTTTGGGTGGTTTGGATATATGGTAGTATGAAAGGAATATTATTGTTTTGCTTTATGTAAAAAATGTAGGAGATATATCTGATATTCTTTGTTGTTTTAGGTGGAGGTAAAGGAAGGATACGGGAAATAATAAGGTCTTGTTATATGAAGAGGAAATTGGTGATTTCCTGTTTTTGACAGGAAATTTGGCTGACGGGAGTAAGTTATATGATCATCCCTGAAGTTTGCATTGATTAACATACTTACTATTGGATTTTAATGAGAATGCTAATTATTTCTTGCTCTAATTGTATCAGATTATACCTTGACGCATGTGGATGAGGTTATTGATGAACTTCTGACAAAAGATTACTCATGTGACATTGCGATGCCACGAATTAAGAAAAGGTGGTTGTTTATTGGAATAAAAATTTCCTAGTTGATTTTATCATGGTGACTTTTGTTTTTTGTTTTTATTATAGACATAGTTGAATATCCTGACCCTTCTTTACGTTTGGAATGCATCTTGGCCTGTTTTTGTATTTGGCCCCTTGTATCTCTCCCCTGTTCTAGGTTTCCATGAGGGTCCATTTTTACTTCTACAATTTTAGGTTTATGTATATAATTTCCTTCTATATTCATACAGATGGACTCTGGAAGCAACTGGTTCCTTGGAACTCAGGAAAAGTGCGTTGGAGGAGGACTTTGAGGAGGAGGGAGAGAAAGAGGAGAACGATCAACTTGATGGAGTGGATGATGAAGTCCATGATAAGGATTATTATCGTGGCCGAAGCCCTGTAAGGGAAAGGGACAGGGGTAGAAGACGCGACAGTCACAGATGAACAATTTTCTTTTATACAAATTTTTTATGTTTACCATATATTAATTCTGAAAAATAACTGGATTGTCTGTGTGTGTGTGTGTGTTGGTCGGTTGGGATGAAGGCTTGGTTAATAGCTCAGGGAATTAGATTGGTTGGGTTCTTATTCTTTGTGTTATTGTGTGTGAGTGGAGATATTTTGGATTTCTGAACTAAACTGAATGTTCTCTTCTCTCTTTTTTCTTTTTGGGGGTGTGGGGGAAGTAAAATTTTGTTGAAAATCGAGCTGAGAGCATGGAGTAATAGAATGAGAGGAGTGTCTGGGTAAACATGAAATCCATTCAAGTTATCTCAACTGATTTTCATTTGGGTTCTGCCTGTCTTTGGATGAACCAGTCTTGTAGCTGTTGTGGGAAATTTATTAGACTTTTACGCCATAAAAATAATGACTTTTAAAGTGGAAGCTGTTGTCTGACTATTCAAATTCGGACTAGTACATTCATATGTCATTGAATTTTAAGCCATAGGTGTTATATAATGGCTTCCTATAGTGATATCCCTGATTCTGCCAGGTTTCTTTGCACTGACAGTGTGCAGTGAGAAGTATGATGGATCATACATTTTTCCTGCAGTGTAAATATGGTTCCCTGGTCAGTTGTGTCTTTTCTTATTTTGCATTTGGAGTTAATTCCGCAAAGTTGGTTAATTGAATGCCATTGGTCATTTTCGTGGGAAGCCCTGTGGTTGATTTAATTTGTAAATGTCGAATTCTACCATATAGTTACTGTTTGTTGTTAAACAAAGGATTGAAACTGTCATCTTGAAGCTAACACTGCCATTTCTGTTTCCTTTTTTACTCCCATAAAACAGGGACCACGATTATGACAGAGACTATGAGAGGGATAGAGACTATGACAGGGAACGCAGACATGGATGAGAATGAGATAGGAATAGAGACAGAGATAAGGGTTGGGACTGTTATCGACTAAGAGATGAAAAGGATCATGGTCACGATAGGGAGTGGGATAGGCAAAAGAGGGATTGTGGCAGGAGGAGGAGCTATTCAAGGAGCAGAAGTCGGAGTAGGGATCGTGCAGGTTGGGATAATCGCAAAAGACATGGCCGCAGCAGCATGAGTCCCAGGAGATGGGATGGGCATGATGAGCATGGCACTTGTGAGGAGTCAAAGAAGAAGAAAGAAAAGAAGGAGAAGATGACTGATGGGACAGACCATCCAGATCCAGAGATTGCTGAAGCGAACAGGCTCCGTGCATCTCTTGGATTGAAACCTCTGAAGATGTGATAATGTTGGTTGACTAGTTCATGTTAATGTGAATGTATTTCAACCGTCTTTGGATTTCTGAACCTTTAGTATCTCCTGTACATCCATTACTTGAGTTCATATAAAGATCATTTTTACTGACTGTTCAGGCAGTCATTTTTCAGGATAAACTGTAACTCTTGGTTTTGTGTGCAGCATTGGTTTGGACCAAAACAAATGCCGGGCATTTGTGAAAGCGTTAACAATATAACAAGAGCCAAGTACTTTTATAAGAAGAAACATGCAAAATCTTTACATCTAACACGAACGTGAGTCTTGACCATTAAAAAAAATTAAAATGAGTAAATTGAAAATAAAACAGAATCATGAAGGGAACGAATACCCATATCATGGCATGATCTCAGTTATCAAAATGCCATTTTCATCATACTGAAGGGTGCCAGATAAACTCAGTGGTCTGCACTTGCTTCCCATCAGAATCCTTTTCTTGCATAACTCCTGGGCACCTCTTTCTTCCATAGCTTTGCTATCTTCTTGCTTTGAATTATCTTCCCCATCGATCTCCCTATTTACCATTTTTGTTAGGGACCTTGCCATTCTCGACTTCCAGCGATTAGTTGGCATGAATTTTGATGGAACCAAATTCAAGTTACCTGAACTTTCTTGCTCCCCAATCACCCTGAAAGTAGCATGAGCAACACCAATATCAACTCGTTTAGCATTATCACCTTTGATATAACAAAAAGGTGCACATAGGTTAGTAACATCATCATTGGCTCTGCTGTTGCACTTGGTTTTGCTTTTCATGAAACATCTGCCATCGGAGGAAGACTTTTTCTCTGGTGATTTGATCTTCATGTTGCCAAATGCGTAGGTGAAGAGGGAACTGATTTTCCTCGGCAGAAGCTTTCTGGGTTTGTTCCTGAGTTTCTTCTTCTCCTTTGTGCAATGCTGCTTATTATATCCTCCATCGATGTTCTTGCTGCACCCATAATCAAATCGTTTTTGCATGGTCTTGGCTAGCAATTTGGGGACCTTAATCCTTATCTTTGGCTGACGAGTAGTGATCCTAATAAAATATGACAGCGGAGGGCGTTGTGGTATATTTCTGCGGTCCATTGCAACATTAACAACTACAGTTTGAGTTTTCCTTCCAACTTTCTATCTGCAAATCGAAGTGGTCATTGCAATATTATATACTTTGTTGGTGGCCTCCGAGAAAATAGAGAAAGTGGATTGGAGAAGGGGGGGGAAGAGTTGGCAGACGTGGGTGGGTGGAGCCGTGGAGCTGTGTCTTTCAATTCTAGGGGGCAAAAAAAGAAGTGGCATTTTTATTTGGAAAACGATCTCATATTGGACAGTACAAACCTGAAAACCGTCTCTCTCGTTCCCGGATCTACCTCCCTCTCTTGTCCATCAATCACATTGTGACCACTTCTGCCTTCAGCTACTTTCTCTTTTTTTTTCTCTCTCTCTCTCTCTCTCTGATATGAAAAGCTGAAATCCATATTGCATTGCACAACCCATCAAAATCTGTACGCCTGTTTGCATCATTGATCTTTGGGTTCACATAAAGTTCGAAACTTTATAGCATTTTCTTATGAAAATGTCTGCCTCTGTGTCTTGTCTATCTTGATCTGTAGATACAAATAAATACAAAAGAAACAGAAGAAAAACAGAGAAAGGACCATTGAAGCAGAAATGACAGAGCTTTGCAATCTGCCAGAAGATATGGCATTGAATACTCTCAAGGCTGCCGCCAAAATCTCTGGTTCGATTCAAATGCGTCCATAAATCCTGGTAAAACATGATCAACAACCCCCATTTCATAACCACACACCTCTCCAATTCCACGCGTACCTCCAGCAGTCTCTTTTTCAAGCGCTTGGTCCTCAAGAACACCGAAACCGACGACGGGGAAACTCTCCTCACATTGGTTAGTAACAGCTACGACAATGCTGGCGAAGATGCTGCTGATGAGAATGAGCAAAACAAGAGTCATAGTTTTGTCGCCGAAGACACAGCTAGGGAACAATGTTTTGGGTTTGAGGATTTGAAATCTGTGACTCTTCATGGGCATGCTGACGGGATCATTTGTCTAGCCGATTCCGACAACAACGTGGTTTTATGCAACCCGACAACCAGGGAATTCAAAAAGTGTGCTTCCCCTGACCTAGGTGTTGGTGCTTTGGGATTTGGAAGCGACCCGAAAACCAGGAATTTCAAAGTTGTTAACATTACTGAAAACGGTGAGGGCGACGACAACGACTGCGATGATGTAACACCTCCTTTGCAATCCTCCCACAATAAAACTCTACACTCTTATCTACCGATTCTTTGAGAGAAATCAACACGGACACTTTAGAAACCGAAACCACCTACATTTTGCCTGGTTGTTTACAGATGTTGTACTGCAAGGGATTTTGTTATTGGGCCGGAAATGAGCAACTGAAGGAGTTCATCAGTGTGTTTGACATGACGGAGAACCAAACAGTTAGGCAATTGATCGTTTCGTTTGATATAGTTGACGAGGTTTTTCATCCTATATTGTTTCCCGACATCATATACGACTCGGGCTATAGTCCATATAGTCAGCTTGTTGTGTGGGACAAATCCGTTGCTCTTTATGCATCCATTCATGATGGATCGATGGGATTATGGTTGATGGACAGCGGTTGGACGAAGCTATTTGCCTTTACATCGTTGGAAGATGTCCCGACACCGTTGCAATATTGGAGAGGCAGCAGCCATGATGAGCTGCTTCTTATGGTTTCTCAGGAAGGCCGCCTGTTCACATTCGACCTCAATACAGAAACCCAAGAGTATGTTCCGGTTTGCAGCATGGATGACTACCAAGACTCTATCTTCCACAAGTATGTTGCAGATTGGGGCGGAGACCCGGATTGTTCGCAAGTAGTTGTGTGTGTGGGTAACATAGTTCCCTTAAACAGAAGCAACCAGTGCTAGAGAATTGCAGAGATAAGTTTAGTGTGATGATATAAAATGTACCAATAATTAGGATGGAATTATGTTGAAATTGTATTTGATCTTGTATTTTTGTTACTAGCTTCAAACTATTCTTTAGGACAATAGCAAACCTGATCAATAAAAATAAAAATTTAGTGCAAGTCATGTTGCGGTAAAAGACACTTTCTTTTTGTGTTAATACAGATTTTAGGGTATGGGTGTGGTTTCTTTCCCTCCATGGAGACATTTCTGGTTTATTCAAGTTACATTTTGACACACATACAATAAAAAATTCAAAAGGAAATACTTATGTGTGCATGTCCAACTAGAATTGACATGAAAGTAGGAATTACAATTACTACTCCTAGAGGGAGAAGACTAGTGTTTTCCTTCTGCATATTGTGACCAAGAAAATTATACCTCTTATTATTATTATAGTGTAAGTGCCAGTTTGGCATTGCTTATTTGGGGTGATAAGTGATTTTTAAAAAATTTTGAGAAGCCCAACCCGTTTGGTAAACTGCGAAAAAATCACTTATTATTAAAAATTGTTGTGAGAGAAAGCTATAAGGGAAAGCAGCTAATGAGGTGCTTTCATTTTCTGATTATGCAGGAATCAGTTTCGAAGAGGTGTTGAGTTTAATGATTATGCAGCAATCATTTTCTGATTTTGCGTAAAATCAATACCAACAACACTTTTAACAAAAATTTTACCAAACGTCAAACTGCTTTCTTTCACAGCTGATTTCTCTCACAGCAAATCTGACAGCGATTATTTTCACAGCACAACAATGCCAAACTGGCCCTAAATAGTGTTGCAGTTAAAAAGACTCTTTTTTTTAGGATGCTAGTTGTCTTTTTCTTTGGATGAAAACATTCCTGGTTCATTCAAATTACATTTTGACACATAAAAAATAATTTATTACAAAGACAAAAGGAAAGGTTTACATACATATTTGTGATTGATAGAAAAGATGAGTTACTATTCCTAGGAAAAGGAGGCAAATATTTTCTTTTCCAACATAGATCAGGAAAATTATGTGTGTATAAGTAGCAGATGATCTCATTCCCAACTCATCTATGTAAAAATTGTGTGGACCATACCAAAGCCCGGCCCAAAATAAGAGCGCGAATCTGCAAAACCCTTGAGATCAAAGTCGGCCACATCATTCATTTAGTCCATATTTAGAGCCCAATCTATCGGACTGAACGAGTAACTCCAATTTTTCTCGGATTGGACAACAAACCTAAAACCCTAAAACAATCTCCTCTTTCTTTCTCTCTCTCGCTTCCTCTCTGTGCATAGCATTGCGGCCACTTCAGGTACCTTCTCTCTCTGTTTCTCACTCTCTATCTCTTTCTCTGTCTCTCCGAGCTTCTACTCCAATTGAAACCTTCTTCTGTTCGTAATAACAACTGTCCGTAATATAAACTGTATGAAAGTTCGCTCTTTTCCCGATATATAAATTTCACGATGAGTCGCTGAATTGAATAGAATTCTATGCAATTTGTTGAAATTTTGGACGCCATGTATCTCACAGATCTCGGATTCAGATAAAGTTCTAAACTTTTTCCCGAGAAATCCGTCCGATTTGTCGAATTAAAGCTTATAATCATTGTTTGATGATAGATGCTTAATGTGTATCCCTGCATCGGTTTCCCGATTGCAAAATTACGTCTTTTTTTCTGTTTGGATTTTCTTTGGAGGCATAGGTGCTGGTGGTTTTTATCCTGGGGAATGAATCGTTAAACGTGCGCCATGTTTTCTTAGTATTTGTTTGATTAATGGTTTAAGTTTGCTGTTCGGATTTTGATGTTTTGTTATCCGACTTCAATTGTGACAACAAGTACATTTTGTGGTTCAGGTGACTGTTGCATTGTGCGGGGCAGCTGAAGTTTCGAATCGAACATGTCGAATTTTGCAAAACCGGAAAATGCATTGAAGCGAGCCGAAGGTGAGTCACTGCTGATTTATGGCTTCTTAGCTAAAAATGAATGTCTGATTGTTTAATTTAATAAGTTTTTATTACTCATTTGATTGTATAGTTTCTGAAGTTGCTGTAACCCTTTATTGTTAACATGTTTCTGTTTCTTTATACCATAGTGGTTGGGATATTCATTGAACAAGTTAATTGCGTATCAATTTTATGCCATCTTCATTGCCCTTTTTATCTGAATCTGAATTGACAATTTTAATGTGTCGCTGCAGAGTTGATCAATGTTGGGCAAAAGCAAGATGCCTTACAATCGCTTCATGATCTTATCACCTCAAAGAGATATAGAGCATGGCAAAAACCACTGGAAAGGATTATGTTCAAATATGTAGAGCTTTGCGTTGACTTGCGCAAGGGTAGATTTGCCAAGGATGGTTTGATTCAGTACCGCATAATATGTCAACAAGTTAATGTCAGTTCCTTGGAAGAGGTGATAAAGCATTTCATGCATCTATCGACTGAGAAAGCTGAGCAGGCTCGTACTCAGGCTCAAGCCCTGGAAGAAGCTCTTGATGTCGATGACCTTGAAGCAGATAAAAGGCCAGAAGATCTGATGCTGAGCTATGTCAGTGGTGAGAAAGGAAAAGATAGATCAGATCGTGAAGTTGTTACTCCTTGGTTCAAGTTTCTGTGGGAGACCTACAGAACTGTGCTGGAGATCTTACGTAATAACTCAAAGTTGGAGGCTCTTTATGCGGTATTGTAATTCTTGCCCAGAATTTTTTTTTAATTTGACTACTTTAGTCATTCTGCTCTTTAAGAATATTCATCCATAAGATATAAAGACTTTAGGAGTTTCAAATCACTCAGTAGTTAAAGAAGGCATTTGTAGATTATCGAGTGTTCTCCAAGGTTCTAGTACATTCCTTCATAATCTTAGCATTAAAAACAACTCACTAAGATTCTATTACTTCTAACTGCCTTTGAGAGGGTTTGCATGGTTTTTGGCGCATTTATGGTACTGGGTAATTTGTTGAGATTTAGGTGAATTTGCGTAAAAGCCTTGTTCTTGCTTTGAAGGACTGAAATAATGGATTTCAATCAATCAGTTGATGAACTCTTGTGATTTTTTTTTGTTCAACACTTACTAGGTCTTGCAAAGGGTCCATTATTTGACCCTTTCTCTTTAGAGTTGGAAGGATATAGTTTGTAGCTTTGCTGTATACCTGGGTTTTGTTTTAGATAACTTCTGTTAGAGAAAGATTAATGTCTGTTTGGGTTTTCCACCTCATGGACCCAGCAGCACACTGCCAATCTTGTTTTTTGGCTATGGCCATCTACAACATCATTAATAATGACATATATTCCATATTCGAGTTTAATCATGGTATACTTTTGTGGTTTGTGTCGAACAGAAGTATACAGTTTGCTTTATTGTAATATTTAAGAATTTTATTTCATAGAAGAAACTATGGTGTCTGATTGAAATCTGTAATCTTTAGATGACGGCACATCGAGCCTTCCAGTTCTGCAAGCAATACAAGCGGACAACGGAGTTCCGCAGGTTATGTGAAATCATCAGGAATCATTTAGCGAATCTGAATAAATATAGAGATCAAAGGGACCGACCTGACCTATCTGCACCTGAGAGCTTGCAGCTGTATCTGGATACAAGATTTGAGCAGCTGAAGATAGCTACTGAACTTGAATTGTGGCAGGTGTCTGATTTTTTTTTCGATGTTTTTATTTTTATTTTTTATGTGTGAATTCTGTCAACAAATTTGCAAAATCTGTCAATCTGCTTTTGAATTCTGTCTATTTCTCACGTTACGTTTTTCCTGATGGTATCTGCAGGAAGCATTTCGTTCTGTTGAAGATATTCATGGATTGATGTGCATGGTTAAGAAAACCCCCAAAGCATCCTTGATGGTGGTTTACTATGCCAAGCTAACAGAAATTTTTTGGATTTCAGCTAGCCACCTTAATCATGCTTATGCATGGTTAAAGCTGTTTACACTTCAAAAAAGCTTTAACAAGAACTTAAGCCAGAAGGATTTGCAGTTGATAGCATCATCTGTTGTCCTGGCTGCACTTTCAGTTGCCCCCTATGATCAAACACGTGCTGCATCACATTTGGAATTTGAAAATGAGAAAGAGCGCAATTTGAGGATGGCTAATCTAATCGGGTTTAATCTTGAACCCAAGCTTGACAGAGGAGATGTGGTATTGTCATTTTATTCATTGTTTTTCTTTTGATTCCAATTTTTAATGGGTTTTCCATTCTGACAATCTGTTTTGTGTCCAGCTTTCAAGATCATCTCTTCTTTCTGAACTGGTAAGTTTGCCATGGTCTGTTTTATGGTTATTTACTGTTATTCTTGAGCTTTAATCCTTTTGCTTGTGATGAACATTAACAATTATAAATTTTCTAAATAGACACAACTTTTCTTTTACTTTGTGACCAGATTTTCAATTAGCTGGTTGGGTAACATTAATAATAGAGTAATGGAAGTATATGCATAGCTTTCTATTCAAATTTGAATAGCTTAATTGCTAGCCTTTCTTGCTTATTGCTGCTCTGTCCTTTTCATAATGTGTACCACAGTTTGTACCTTGTCCCAAAATGAGTCTTTTTTATGGTGAAAGAAATATAATTTTTTATTTCGCATTACCCCTTAAGAGTTTATATGAAATCCTACTGTAATATGTGATTTTCAAACTGTGACAATCATTTTGGGGTGGAGTTTTCTTTTGAGATCGATGATGAAAAATGTCCCTTGAGTTTTTGTATCAATCTTGCTATGATATTGTTTCCTTGTGTGCTATTACTTATTATTGCTCAGTAATGCTTTATTCTTTTTTATTTGAGCAAATGGGTACTACGTTATCTGTTGAGGCTTCAAATCATAAAGTAATATTCAGGGATATGCATTTGCTGACAATAAATCAAATTGGATTTTACATGTTTGAAATGTTTCTAAATGTGCAAGTGTTGTTATGCAGCTTAGGAATTTTATTTATTTATTTTGGTGTTGTTTTCAGGTCTCTAAAGGTGTGTTGAGCTGCGCAACCCAGGAAGTTAAAGATCTTTACCATCTCCTGGAGCATGAATTTCTACCTCTAAATCTTGCTGTAAAGATGCAACCATTGTTGAGCAAAATCTCAAAAGTTGGGGGTAAGCTGTCTTCAGCTTCTTCTGTTCCAGAAGTGCAACTATCTCAATATGTTCCAGCCCTTGAAAAGCTTGGTACTCTGAGGTTGCTCCAGCAGGTGTGTTGACTTTTTGGTTTCTTATTCATTCAGAGTTGTACCTTTTAGTTCATTTAAATCTATAACAGAGTTGATGATTCTTCCCTCTACGCTATTCAGGTTTCGCAGGTGTATCAGACACTGAAGATTGAATGTTTATCTTCGATGATACCATTTTATGACTTTTCTGTTGTTGAGAAGATTTATGTGGATGCTGTTAAACATAATTTTATAGCTATGAAAGTTGACCATATGAAGGGGGTTATGTTGTTTGGTAACTTGGTAAGTTAGAGCTTGAATTTTCTGCATTTATAATTTTTGATGTTGTACAAGTCACAATTTGACTGTCTTCTCTCGCAAACTTTTTCAGGGTTTGGAGTCTGACGGGCTTCGAGATCACCTGACTAATCTTGCTGAGTCTTTAAATGAGGGAAGGGCTATGATGTACCCTCCTCTAAAGGGAGCATCAAAGCTAGGTGAAATTCTGCCTACTTTAGCAGATACTGTTGATAAGGAACATAAAAGGCTCCTTGCTAGGAAATCAATCATTGAGAAAAGGAAGGAAGAACAAGAACGTCAACTTCTGGAAATGGTATGCCTGCATATACTTTGAGTTGCATTGATAATAGTCTGGAAATGGATGGAACTTAGACTAAGCTTTCAATTTTCCTTTTTTAGGAACGTGAGGAAGAGTCTAGGAGGCTCAAACTACAGAAAATAACCGAAGAAGCAGAGCAGAAGAGGCTTGCAAGTGAATATGAACAAAGGAAGAATCAAAGGATACTAAAGGAAATAGAGGAGAGAGAACTTGAAGAAGCACAGGCACTCCTTCAGGAAGCACGCAGTAGAAAGAAGGGAAAGAAGCCACTTTTGGAAGGAGTGAGTGAAAGATGTCTTATTTAAGTATGGTTTTGATGGATGACCCCATCTTATCAGTATCTAATGAGTTTTATATTTATACAGGAAAAGGTGACTAAGCAATCTCTAATGGAGTTGGCCCTGAGTGAACAGCTCAGGGAAAGGCAAGAAATGGAGAAGAAATTACTAAAACTTGCTAGAACAATGGATTACTTGGAAAGAGCAAAAAGAGAAGAGTCTGCTCCGCTGATTGAAGCTGCCTATCAACAACGTTTAGTGGAAGAGAGGGTGCTTCATGAACGTAATCAACAGGTATATATAACAGTTACATTTCCCATTCTTTCCCCTTACAGTTCATGTTGATTTTATTCCCTTTGCCTTTTATGCTAGCCATAATTCATTATTATGCTTTGCAGCTGGAAGTTGAGCTGAGCCAACAGCGCCATGAAGGAGATCTGAAGGAGAAGAATAGGCTAGCGCGGATGTTGGAGAATAAGGTGAGTTTGCAGTTTTACCTGACCGGACAAATTACACTTTTATTTCCATTTTTCACATAGATTTCTGTCTAGAATGTATACACTGCCCTAAAACATGTGCATGTTCTTATTCCTGGGGAAAGCAATAACATATGCATGCACAGAACCACTAACACTGTCATCAAACTATAAATGTTTCTATCCCAATGCTTCCAAACAATAGGTTCTTACAACTCTTTCTGGTCACTTGTGTTGTCATGACATGTGTTCATTCACAAGTATGGTAGATGCTGAGAAACAATGACTCTTTTTTCTCTTTGGTAGATGAGCTTCCAGGAAAGGGTGTTGCATCGTAGGCAGTCAGAATATGACAGACGGACGGCAGAGAGAGAGGAACAAATCAGTCAAATGATTCAGGCCAGGAAACATGAGAGGGAGGCAAAGAGGAAGAAAATATTCTATGTGCGATCTGAAGAGGAAAGGCTAAGAAAGCTGCATGAAGAAGAGGAAGCGCGCAAGCATGAAGGTATGTGTTCTTACAAAAAATTTAGTCTATCCAGCTTTTTGTGAACACTAGGGCATCCTCTCTGTGTGGATTACGAAATTAATTTCGTTTGAGATGATTTTATCATTTCTTTGGAAAACATGAAGTGAAGTATTGTTCTCCCTGCTTATGGTTATTTCTGATTCCTGCAATTCTTCTATTAGTTTTTCTTGCTTTTTGAATAATTTTCCTTTACAATGGCTCATACCCTTACTGTCTTCTGATGTTCATCAACCATTGCTGCTTTGAACCATGCAGAGGCCGAAAGGAAAAGGAAAGAAGAAGCTGAGCGCAGGGCAAAACTGGATGAGATTGCTGAAAAGCAGAGGCAAAGAGAGAGGGAATTAGAAGAAAAAGAAAGACTGCGGAAAGAAGCACTTTTGGGAAGACCAGCTGAGCTTCCTAGGCCTGCTGAGCCTCGTCCAGTTGAGCCTGCAGTTGCTGCTCCTGCTGCTGCTGCCGCTGCACCAGCCCCTGGGAAATATGTGCCTAGGTTTCGGCGAGGGGGAGCTGAACCCCCTGCTCAAACTCCTCCAGATCTTGATCGTAGGGCAAGTAGGCCAGATGACCGCCCACCCCCATCAAGTGATAGGTGGCGCAGTGATGAGCGAAGACCCCCCACCTTTGGTGGCTCAAAATCTAGTTGGTCCTCATCCAGGGTTCCATCCCGTGGGTCGGAGCGCTAATCATATATAGAGGTTTTTGGTGGCATTGCTTGATCCTGGGGCAATTTTGATTATGATTAAGCTGGTAATGTTCCGGGTGAACTGAGAAGATTATTATTCTTATTTAAGTACTGAAAGACCTAGTGGAGCTGCTGTTACTCTTTGCTTTTAGTTTATCTTCTTTTTCCCCTGTTTCGTTTCCATCTTGCTGAGTGCCTTCTCATGGAATGCGCATTGTAATCTTCAAAGTTTAGACTTGGAAGTTAGTTTTGTTCCCTCCCATTCCCATACTTGTCTTCCACATTCATTTCTATTTCTGTGCATGCTTACATACAAAGTAGTGGTAGCTTCTCAAAGGTGATTTCCAGCGGTTCCTGTGAAATTTTCTGTCCTGAATTTCGAATATGAATAGCTTGTGTTTTTTATATATCAAGTGCGCGCTTCAAAAGGTTTTTTATGTATATATATATATTATTTTATAAATTTTATGAGGACACTTCAAAAGATTTGTATTTTTTCTTTCTTGGAACTGTTATTTTTGCCCTTGAGAAATACGAAAACTAAAATTAAAAGCAATTCATCTCTCTCCCATCCTTGGAACTCAAACTGATACCTACCCGCCAACGAGCCTTGAAAGCACACTTGTAGGTTAATTTCGAAATGAAGATCTATTTGATCATGACACTTGAACACACCACAAAAGTAATCATCCAATAATTCAATGACTCATGTAAAGCATGCTAAGAAAAGCCAACAATTTTCATAAATTACTAGTTAAACAAATTTATTGTGTACAAACAGGTTACTTGTGTTTGATATTGACCCACTGCATTTAGTATTCGTGTTAACAAATCATGTTATCCTCGTTGCAAATATAGGTTAAGCCAGTTGATTAAAGTAATGCTTGATATTGACCCACCGCATTTAGTCTTCGTGTTAACAAATGATGTTATCCTTGTTGTAAATATAGGTTAAGTCAGTTGATTAAGGCAGTGCGTCCTCTCCATTGCACATAAGTTCAAACTCCCTCCTCTTACATTAATGTAGTTTTTTCAAAGACATACATTAATGTAGTTTAAAATATCGCATATGTAAAAAAATAATAATAATATTTTCTGTGTTAATTATTTTTACTTTTTATTTTTTTATGAGGGAAACGGAAGAGTTTGGAAAGGATGGTGTGATGAAAAAGGTTTCTTTTTTCTCAAAAAATAAAAATACACACACACACACATATATATATATATATATATATAGGTTTTAAAGAAAAAAAAATTCAAGAACAAATTCAGTTTACAAAATTAGGGATTGCAACTTTTTCTTTTCCTTTTTTATTTTAAATTTTATAGTCAGGCCGACCTCGCACCTTCCTCTCTCTTTCGCCTCCTAACAGCTAAACCCTCCTTGAACCCTCCCATCCCCAGTCTTTACCAATTCGCTTTACCTAGACTTACTGAGTTTTCAGCTGAAAATGAGTTCGGTCGCTGTGAGATTTGCCAAGTTTATGAGAGTCTCTATTCCTTCCTCGCCCAACCCAACACTTGGTTCTCTCTCTCTATCTCTCTCCTCCATAAATTTATTTTGTTTTTGTACGTATGACATGAATGTGTTATTTGCGGTGCTCATTTCTGATATCTCATTCGGTTTAACATTGTTGTTTTATTCATGGGTTGAGTTCAAACGGAACCATCCATTCAAGTTTCTACAAAATTAAATGATCTCGTCGGTCAGTTGAACTTTTAAATTCCAGATATGGGTTTAGTTCAGAAAGGGCTTTTTGGATAACAGGTTGCATAGAATTCAGCATGGTTTACATGTTATTTCTTAGAACAATTTTCTCAAATAGTGATGGGCATGCCAAGAATCTGAACAACGAAATTTAGTGTGCCATTTTTATGTTAATTTTTTACCTTTATTACAGCAGTGAGTATGCAAAGAAGCTCAAAGTTGTGGTGCTCAAGCACCTCATCTGACATTGGCAATGATGAGACAAAGAAAACTGAGGCAGAAGAAGATTTTGACGAAATTTTGGGTGAGAAGAAAGATTCGCATTTTCAAGCCCAAAGTGTGGATCCCAGGAGGGGCTGGGGATTTCGCGGTGTGCACAAGGTATTTCATATGTAGTTTCAATAGAACAAAAGTTGTAACTTTTACCCATTTGGATATGTGTAAATGTACCTTCACATAACAAAATTACAAATGCAAATGCATCACGTATTGTTGTACATATATAAGCCTAACAAAACCTGTTGGTTCCATTAGGGATGTTAGGACACAGAAACAGCATAAATCACCAGAACGAGTAATCTTTCCTCTATTATTTTTTTTAATCAGCAATCAATCAGTTGTGTAGGGATATCCTTCTTCCATATGTTTTGTCATGTGTTTATGCTAGGCTATGCCGAATTTATACAGGCAATTATCTGTGGTAAAGTTGGGCAAGCCCCTGTGCAGAAGATCTTGAGGAATGGCCGGACTGTAACCATCTTCACAGTTGGGACGGGGGGTATGTTTGACCAAAGAATAGGGGGTGCAAAGGACTTGCCAAAACCTGCTCAATGGCATCGAATTGCTGTGCATAATGAAGCACTTGGGGCTTATGCGGTTAAACAACTTTTTAAGAAGTATGTGTCCATTTTTTAGGCTGAGTGAAGTTTCTGTATATTGTCTCTCTAATGGTTGAAGTTTAACTGCAGTTCATCAATTTATGTGGAGGGTGACATTGAAACCAGAGTTTACAATGACAGCATCAATGGTGAAGTTAAGAATATTCCAGAGATATGTGTTCGTTACGATGGTATAAATACCAGCATTACAGTTTGACTTTGTTCTAAATGTTTATTTTTTAAGTCGTAATTCTTCATTCTGCAGTGTTTTTGGATTGACTTGTGTATCTTACATGACTTTGCTTCATTAATATTTATGTTCCAATGGTCTGTTGCTATGAGATAACTTGGGAGGATACATTAATTTAGCATAGAACATTGTCGATGTCTGAATTTCATAGATTTAAAGGTTTTGTTGATGGGTGAATAAACATGGGAATGAAGATTCATATTTGTGACCCTGTTCTGCATCAGTAGAAAAAGTGCCGACAAGGCGAATACAAGTTGAAAGGATAAATATCAGTATTTAGTATGCCTTGAAAGGACCACCCCATCCCTCCAACCCTTCAAAAAGAAGAAAAGAAAAATAGAACTCTGTCATGTCATGGTATTTTGTTCAACGATTGTCTTGCTATAATGATAACGTGAAACTACTTATATATTGTGATTTCCCCTGCAGGGAAGATTCGTCTTATAAAGACTGGAGAAAGCATCAGCAGTATATCCTTGGATGATCTGCGTAAGTTCCTTCCTTCTACTTTTTATAGTATCTGCAGCTAATGACATGACCCCTTAGTAAATAGTAATGTACTCCCTTGCTATCCCAATTGTGAGACTTCCATACGAAACTAACATTACATGCAATACCATCGTTACCTCTGTGCTGCACGAAGTATTTCAGATGTGAACACCTTAGTTGTTTGAGTTAATACCATTTCCTATTTTGACATTTATGTTTTGATCAATGTGCTCATTTGTTACTTGCAGGAGAAGAATTGGTTTAGCAAACAGTTGATTGGCACATCATGGAAAACACTCAGCCTTGGAAAGGAAGAGTAGCTCAAGCCACTTTTGTAGGAAGCATATGTTATATTTGCTTGTCTGGTTGTAAGTTGTAATCTAGCAAAGAAAAATGCTTGAGTTTTGTTTTTCAATGTGTTGATATATCACCCAGTTTTCATTCTTCTCTTTCTTTCCCCAGTGCATGTAGTCATTTACTCTTCCCTCTCTTCTGGAGAAGGGAGGGTGCTTAACAACTGAGATCAATGTGTAAAGACTATTTGATGTTCTTAATCCTATAAAATGAAGTCCTTATTTCCTTTAGTATTCTTAATCATATGTTGATTGTCTTCAAATTAAAAGTGGTTTCCTGGTGCCTGCCCTGTTTCAAATTTTATTCATAGGTGTTTAGTGTGCAACAGTTAATTAACCAGAGTGGTTTGTGGTTGGTTTGGTGGGGGCTGGGAATAAGTGGACCAATAAATTGATGTAAGATAGGGGTCATGGCTTACATATTTTTCTACCTTGTGTGATACTTTATGTTCTTAATTATAAATTTCTCAAAATAGCATTATACTATTACAACTTTGTGCTTTGTTTTATCCCAAAATGTACGTTTCTTTATACTATTAGAACTTTGGCCACTTTGGGAAATAAGTGCCCCACTGCCCCCTCGAAAAATCGAAAGTGGGATATGTTAACCCAATTGTTCCTCACCACTAGTTGGCTTGGAGATCAATTAATCTAATTTGATCTTAACCCTGCCTTCTCTCTTTCTTTGCTTTCCATATTATTTGACACTTGCTCCTTCCTCTCTGGTTGATGAATGCAAATGGCATGGTGGGGCAAATCTAGATACAATAATACAATACAATATATGAGATTCCAATGGGTGAAAACCAGCTAATTAGCTTCATCTTTCATGGCTGCCAATAAACTTAATAATATAATTCTTTAGGGTAATTAAGATTTGTATATTCATTGTCATTTCTTAATCTCTCCATCCAAATCTCATACACTGACAGCTGTTGGCCACACCTTTGTTGATTATTATTATTCATTCACAAAAAAGGAACTTCATTTTCATACCAACAATCTACTATATATATTTTTTTTTACACAAGTGATATTGGAAGAGGGGAGAATCGAACTGAGAATCTCGAGTGCAAGAGTAAATATATTTAAAATAAATCTTTATTTTTTTTTCTATTTAAATTAGATTATTTACTTCTTTTTATTTTTTATTTTAAGAAAGAGAATTTATTTGATTCTCTCCGTATGTCAACTACTAATGATTAGCAAAGAGAATTTGCTAGAATTAATAATTAAAGGGTAGGTGGAAAGATAAGATTGTGTTTTTTCAAATTTACATGGTGGGGGGAACATAAAGTGAGTAGAGAAATAGTACAGGCGGTGGAAATAGTAGCACTATAAGTTCCCATATTGATTAACTAATTCTGTGGTTTTTTATATAAATAGATACTTAGCTCTCAGCATTTCTTGCTTTCTCTATCTCTGACTCTCTGCTAAAGTCAAGATGGTTCTGACATTTTTTGTGTTCATGCTCATGAATATCATCAAAACTGGCCATGCATCAGCCCTTGGATCTTGCCCAAAATGCGGCAATGTGGAAGTTCCATACCCTTTCAGCACAGATGACACGTGCGGAGACTCAAGGTACAAAATCTACTGCAACAACAGCAACATTGGCAATGGCATTCTTGAGTTCAAGTCAGCTGAAGGGTTTTACTACAAGATCCTCAGCATTGACCCGAGTGCTCAGAGGCTCATCATAAGCCCACCTGATCTGGTACAAGATGGTGACTCGTGTCAAACTTCTGATTTCTCTCTTCAAGGCTTGAGGCTTGATGAACACTTGCCCTTCAATGTGTCCACTCGCAACACAGTCATCTTGCTCAATTGCTCTGACAATCTGCTTCGATCTCCTCTCAACTGTACCTCAAATAGCCTCTGTAGGGTTTTTCAGGACAAAATGTTGGAGGACAAAAACAATGCATGCAAAGGTGGCCTCTGCTGCCATTACTTGAAAGATTCACATATGACTTCATATGTGATTAGGGTTAGGGTTGGAGGCTGCACTGCATATACTTCTGTGGTTGATATTCGACCTGAAGATCCTGTTGAGAAATGGAGCTATGGGATTGAGCTGCAATGGCTGCCTCCTAATTAATTGAGTTGAGTTTGTTGGGCTTGCTTATCGAAGAGGATATTAGAACCTAATAATGTTATTAGTATGCATGCATTTCTTTGCAAGTTGCAACCTAATGTAATAAAGTTGTTTTCTTTCTCTTGGTCTTCAGCTGCTTTCTGTGGTTCATGTTTAATTTTGTTCTGATTGTTGGTTTAGTAAATTCTGGCCATGTATTATGAATTTAATGGTTGTGAACTCATGTGTGCTTAGGAAGGAGCTTGTTTGTAGAAATAACTGCGATTTGAGCAACCAAAAGAGAGACATTGGTGCCTAAATATCCGAAGCTTTAATTTCTTAGAAGAGCTGCACCCATTGTGACCCCTCAAATTACTCATCTCACCCTCTGAAATTACCTAAAAGTTACACCGACTTAGGTTTTTTTTTCCCCCAAAAAGTAAAACATTAATGGGGCTGCCATGGCAATGGCATGTGGGCACAGCCCATGGTGGACAGTTTCAGGAGAGAGGCTACAATGAGGAGTTTAAAGTGAATGAGAGGCTATAACCGGGAGTTTAAAGTGAGGAAGCCAATCCCACCATGAAAACATTTAAAATGTTTAAGTCCCATGATTTCTTTACATTTGTTGATGATGAGATTGACGTACGCAAATAGCCTCCTCACTTTAAACTCCTTGTTATAGCCTCCCCATAGTTTCAAATATGTTCCTCATTAAACATAGAGTAATATGCTATCGGAATAATAAAGAACGAATTATGCAACACACAAGAACATAATAATATGGAAAAAGTGGCAAACCAGGTCTAACCACATTTCGTAGACAATTGCAAAATAAATAGATTATATATTCAATTGTTCTAACAAAATAAAATAGAGCGAACACCAATGGGTTAGAGTTAGATCGCGTGCTGTTGCTAATTTCCAACTTAACTCAAGTGAACAGCTACACCAAAAGTATTACGCAAACCTTCGATTTACTTACAAATTAAAGCTGTTAGTGATGATAACACCTCTGCCCTCAGTCAGTCAGTCCAACAGCTGAGCACAAACCAGAACCGACACAAACTTTTGAAACTGCAAAACACCTACTTACTCTGCATACCTCAACTTCATTTCTTACACACATCTATAATAGTCACCACCTGAAAAAGGAAAACCAAGCATATGCTCACACTGCCAGAGAAAAAATACAACAGAATATGCAATCAGTTAAATTACTACAATATCACTGTGGGCGTGCTCAGTCTTTTTCCTTCCATGGCGTCTTTCTTGTTCCGACACTTGGCACAAAGAAAGAGACCTTCCCATGGCTTTGATGCTGGAGAGAAAAAAGGCCCAGAATTTACTGATAAACCTTCTACTGGAGGCTGATCCACTTGGCAGACTGCACATCGGAAAAGACCAGAATTTGCATCCAGAGTAGAATCCTTACCCAACCTGCATTTCCATCAAGAAAAGAAAGAAATAAAGGCTATACTCAAGCTGGAAATACTGTCTTATCAATTACATAATAAACTATGCTGCACATACCTTTCAGCGAGCATTGCTGAACCTTCTTCAAACAACTCCTCCACAACTCCAACAGAAGAAAGCTTATTTCTTTTGTTCACAGAATTCCGAGTTTTCTTCCCAAAGATAAGCGAAGCAAGGATGTTTTGTTTCTTCATTGGCGTTGGAGGCAAGACAGGGTGGTCTGAAGGGATTATGTCAACAACTAGGCAGGTTGTATCATCCTTGAGACCCCTTGACCTCAGAGCCTCCTAAAGTAGAACAAAGAAAATTGGACTAAATCAGTAAAATCAGACCTATTTTCTTGGCCTATAAATAAAGTTTGCATCTCAGGCATTACCTTAACGACCAGCTTTGCAGCAAGCTCTGCAGGCAATCCCCGACAAGACTTGGCAGCCAAATCAGAAGACAAAGCATCCCAGATGCCATCAGAAGCTATTATAAGTCTTCCACCAGCATTTGAAAGCTACATAACCAGGAAAAGAAAAAAGTTGTTGAGCATTAAAATGTTGTAATAAAAGAAAGAAAAGTAAACAGAACCATTGCCAATAGCAGTATGAAGTTACCTTCACTTGCTTGACATGGGGTATTGGAACGATGAATTCTCCCACATCTGTGTCACCAATTGACCTAGAAAGGCATAATCCACCAGGCCAGCAGCGGAGGGGACCAACCTGTAAACCAAGTAAAAATACAAAATTTAGACCATCAAAGAAATGTTTCCCATTGAGATGTCTTTCAGTTTACAAGTTAGAAGGATAAACAAAATAAGCTATCCTATACCTCACTGCCCCCGAAAACATTGAGCCTCCCTACTTCACCACCACTGGCGGTGACACGCGCCCTCTCTTCTTCATTCTCTTCCAGCCTGTGATCAACAGTCAAGAGTGAAACAACGCCACCCTGGGTGTCCAGTATGCATCTAGAATCCCCAACAGATGCGACAGTCACAGTCCAACCGTCAATCACAACAAATGTCACAGTTGTACCAGAAGTTTCCCCTGAGGTTATTACACCATAAATCTAAGAAAAACAAAAGCAAATGAAAAGAAAAGAGAGACATGTTGTAATAATAAAAACAAAAGGTTTGATGTATACCTTTCTGCTGAAATTCTATATCAGTTTTCACAAAACCTGCAACCAGCGCCCGAGGAAGGGCATGAAGCCATTCATCCCTACTTATTCCTTGAGGAATGGCACTCAAAACATTAGCCAATAAATTCTCCTTTGCAAAAATAGCAGCAGATATACCATTATGCCCGTCAAAAATCTGGAGATCAAAATTTTCAATTATGTATTAGAGAACGTATGGGATTGAATTCATGCTCCATTTTGTTGCTGACAAATATACAAGAAAGAAAAGTTGACAAACTTGTGATTTCTCTTTTATCACACCATTTCAAACCCAAGTAAAATAAAATTCCACTCAACTGGACAAAATACAATTATTTCAGTATCCAACCAGAGATCAGTTCTACGAAGAGGGAAAATAGTGGTGGGGGAGTACCGCGAAGACAGAGAATGATGTTGACGGATTCGAATGAGTCCTCTGGCAATCTGTTTTTATAAGAAAGCAATCCTCTCCTTTCTTTGCCACAGCAGCCTGCCCATACTTCAAATAAGGTTTCTCAACCTTCTCACTCCTAAGCTCACGACCGATCAGAGTCGCAAGTGGAACAAGAGGAGCTTTCATTCCCGATACTTCAGTCTGGCTCATTTTAGTCTCTGCTGTGACATTCCCAAGACCCAATTGAAGAAAATCTTGTCAGAATTTCATTGCATACATGTACACATGTACTAAAAGCACCTCATATCTCCACCAACTGATTCAAATGATTTGCACATCAAAATTAGAATGATAATTAGTTAACACAGCACATGACACTAAAACTTAAGTGAAAACAGATACAAAATAAAATAATAATGTTAGTATACATTAAACGTTTTTCAAGTCCCTTGTGTCAAGGCCTACTGAAACGAAGTAAGCTAGAGACAATTTTGAAAGTAAAAACAAAAACCAATAGAATGCACGTAAAAGAACTTATATAAAAAGAGTTCTATTTGGTAGTATAATTTTAGAAGTTCATACTTTTTTCTCAAAACCACATTTCACCAAAACCAACCACCCAAATCAAAGCCAAAACCACCTAATAATCTAATTTTTCCAACTTCACTAAACAGTGAAGTAAACTTCAGAAATTAAGAACTTTACAAAATGTGCAAAAAATTGTCTCCTCTAGAACCCGCAACCCATCAAAAGATCCCAGTAGATAAGTCACACAGAAGTCAACCGAAGCCCCAAATTGATAAACTGAGCTAAACCCGAACTACAGAAAACGATAAAAATTGCAAAAGAAAAAAAAAGTTTCGAAATGGAAAAATCAGTGGAAATTGGAAATATTTGGGTACCTTAGAATGCACAGATGAAACACAGATAGTGACAGACGGATCTAGCAGGGAGGACCTGACATTGAAGTCCATCTACAGATTCTTCATTGAAATTGAACTCTCACTGGTTGTTCCAAAATAAACCCTAAGGGAGAGAGAGGGAGAGAGTCACACTTTTTTTTTCCTATGATTTGATTGGAAGAAAGAGAGAGATGTGGAAAAAAGGTGCGATTTTTGGGAAAACTTTGTCAAAATTACATTTATGTCCGAATCCTTCGGTGCAGAACTGCATGCATGTACAAAATTACTAAAATAACCTTTTATCCGGTGTCGCTGACAGTTCGGTTCGTATTTTTATTTCTATTTTTTTCGACTTGGATCCCAATGAATGTAACATCTCACTTCATTTATTTATTTATATCTAGACACACAATTGGACCTCATTTATCTTTAATTATAAAAAAAAAGTGCTGATATTATCATTTATCTTAACAAAAAAATAATCCATGTTTACTTATCAGTACTGAAATTAGATGGCATTGGAATGATTCCAGTTTCTTCTTTTCTTGTGTTTACTAACACATGTATTAGAATGATTCTAATTCCTTACTTCTATTGCGTTTATTTACACATACGGAAATAAAAATTATGAGAGTTTCATGGTGAAATTTGTAATCAAATATCCTCAAAACAAATAATCATATCAACTATGGAAGTAGTGATCAAATTCCAATTCCAATTCCTTATTCCCAAATTCTTAAGTTACTTGCTTCATGATTTCCACCATTCCTTATAAGTATAACGTTACATTGTTATATTTATCTTTTATATGTATATATAAAGAGAATGCCACAAATAGTGAAACATTCAAAAATCTTCAAAATATTTATGCTTAATACACCACAATCTAAAGGTATAATATTAATTAAAAACTAATTTGCTAAATCACAAAAATAAATATAAATATCGCTCAAGTAATTCAGGGAAAGTAGTTACCGTCTACTCCACCCACATTCCTCTCTCCTCGCTACACCTATATTCCTCTCTCTCAACGCTACACACACATTCCTCTCTCCCCGTTACTTTTGCCTTAGTAACAACAATATTCATGTAATAGAGATAGAGAAAAGAGGAGGAGGAGGAGGAAGAAGAAGAGAAAGGAGATCCAATTGAGAGTGCAGACAGAAAATGGCAGATCCAATCTTTTCAAAATTGTCAGAAGAGCTGGTGACGCATATCCTTTCAAGGCTGCCTCCCAAATCTCTCATGCGATTCAAATGCATCCGCAAGTCGTGGTCTCTTTTGATCACTACCCCACAGTTTGTAGAAATGCACCTCTCCAACTTCAGTTCCACTCGACACCAAATCTCCACCACCATCCTTTTCAAGCATTTTATCCTCACAGACGTCAACACAGACCAAAAGGAACTCCTTTTCTCGATGTTTAATCTCCGCACTGATGATGTTGACAATGATGATGATATGGACGGTGGCGATGATCACCTCCGTCCCGTTTTCGAGGACCTCGAAGTTTCTTGTTTTCGAGGTGTAGACACAGGGGGAGAGTTTTATAGGGTTGGCGTGGACATTTCAAGCCATTGTGATGGGATCGTTTGTCTGACTGATTTCCACAAAAAGGTGGCCTTATGCAACCCGGCCATCAGAGAATTCAAGCTTCTTCCTGAATCAGAAGTTCTTCTTTCTTCCCCGGAAGAAGTGGCCATACTTGGGGTAGGGTTGGGGCGTGATCTCAAGCATTCTAAGAATTATAAAGTCGTCCGGCTTGTGACTTATGGAGACAAAAAGGTCGACGACGATCGTTTCGTTGTTCATCCTCCGAGAGCAGAAGTGTTCACCCTGCAGGGTTCAGATTCGTGGAAAGAGATCGAAATCGGGAACATAGTGACGAAAACCGGATTCTTTTTGCCTCAGCATGCTGTGTCTGTGTACTGCAAGGGTGTTGTTTATTGGCCTGCAACAGATAAGGACAGGGAGTACGTCGTCAGCTATAATTATACAGACGATGAGTATGATTACTGCGAGGAAAACGAGGGCGAAGACGACGAAGACAACCCTGAAAACAACGAGCGGCTGGCGAGGGAGGAGGAGGAGAGGAAGGAAAGGGACATGAAAGCAGGAATTCTTTCGTTCGACTTTGGTGAAGAGGTGTTTGATATTATACCGTATCCTCCCGATGTAGGGTATTATGAGAGCAAGATTTTTGGGGTGTGGAAGGAAAGCGTTGCTATATTTATTTATGCGTCAATGCCAGATTGCTTTGACATATGGGTGATGGATGAGAGTAAGGAGAAGGGTTCCTGGACAAAATACTTAACCTTTGAGCTGGAAAAGCCATTGTTCCCGTTGGCGTTGTGGAAGAGCGAGGAAGTTATTATGGTGGCCAGGGATGATGTTGTGCTAATTTTCTACAACCTTGAAACCAGAAAGTTTAAGTATCTTCCTCTTAATGGTGTGTTTTTTGATCGAACTCAAGCTGTTGTTTGTGCCAGCACTTTGGTTTCGATCCGGGGAGACAAACAAACTCAGTAGGGGAAGATATATATATAATCGTAGCTCTCGTCCGAAATAATAAATTTATATCTATATTTTGATGCTTGTTTCTATAATCTTGGGATATCAACATTTATTTGTTATTTGATTATGTGGCTAATTTGGCATCAATTGGATGTTTTCTAGAATTATATTCAATCTTTGAATGCAAGATTTTTTTATTTCTGTTTTCTTTTCGTTGGGTTTAGTAGAAGTATATCAACTTTGATAGTTCTTGCTGAATGGTATAGTCTAGTGAAAATGACATTAACTTACAAATAAGTGGTCTCAGGTTTAAACCACCATGGCACCCTTGTAATATGTGTGAAAACTCTCCTCCCCGTTGTAGTTTAGATTATCCTTTAAACAAAGTGAGATGAACATAATGCGACAATATGTATCTCATGATCGTAGATATAACAAGAGAGGATGAGTTAAGTGTTTTAGAATTAAACAAAGATGGACACTTGTTGAACTATGAGTGTGCCACGTCTCCCCTGACGCATAGGAGCCAAGCAATGTCCAATATTTAAATTCTCATGTTGAGTTATATTATATGTTTTATAGATAGCTTCGTAGGGAAGGGAAGGGAATATATTTCATGCTTGTAAAACCTTATTGTTTGTATGAATGAGTATCAACTTCAATCTGTCTTGGACTCAAGCAAAGTACGTATAAAAATAGACCAGCCATTATGAGACAGTGGGTATGAAAACATATATACAAAACCACATTTTCTCTTTTTAAGAACACATCAAAGGAAAAAAAAAATTGTTGTTCTTTGATTGCAATATCAACACTCATATAAACAAATTGAGATGAATGGGGTGCGACAACATACATATATGACCACCACCGCAGAAACTCAGGCAACTGCAAGTGTTGCCACCTCTCATATACATAGAAACCTCTCTCTCTCCCTCTCTCTCTCTCTCTCTCTCTCTCTCTCTCTATAGATATGAATACACAAAAATTGACACCAAAAAATAAAAAATGAAAAAGAATTCATCATAGAGCAACCAAACTTCCCTCAACACACCATAAAAGTAAACTCATCATCGATCACTTAGCATTCCCAGATCTTCGCTTCCCTTCACCAGGACCTGCCTGCCTTCCAGTTCTATGTAGAGGCTGACTAACCCCATTTGGTGGCTTCCGTGATGGCGAAGGAATCAATGATGGAATTAAACTCCTGGTTACAAGCAGATACATGGAAACAGTTTATCACAATATATTAATGCAGCTCAAAGAAAGCATTGCAAATTGATAGAAGTCAGAGTTTACCTAGTTTCCGGGCTCCTTACTGGCCTGGGAGAAGGTTTCTTTGGTTTTGCTCCCAATCCGTTCGGAATGCCGGTCGCTTTCAGGGGATTAAGTTGCCAAAGCAAGTCTGGCTCCGAGCAATCACTAGTTGCAGCCTCAAGCTCATCAGAGTCATCCGTGGTGGCTGCCTCATATCGACTCCTTTGTACTTCATAGTCTTGGCTCTCCTCTTTGTTTGCCATTAATTTTCCAAAGTTTTGGTTTTCCATGTATAACTTTGGAGGGTCTGGGAGGCTGCTCGGACCAAACATCTCTGGCAACTGTCTGTTGTCCACATCCCAATATCCTATTCCTAATAGATTTTCTTCTCCGCTTGCATTTTCCTGCTTGTTCACCATCACCTTATCAATCCAATCACCAGAAAGTACTGAGTCCTTATCATCCTCCTTTCCACTCAATCCAGGACTGCCAATCGGTGGCCAGGGAGGTGAACTCCTTAGCATATCATGGAGATCTAAACTTCGCCTTTTTGGCTTTGATGCAGTGTTTTTCCGAACCTAGTGCGATCCAAATAGAGATGAATATTTGAAGCAACATACAGTGTTTAGATTTCATTAAATGACATAGATAAAATAAAGTCTTTGGCATATCAATTCAATACTTGGACAGTACCTCTATATTTCCCAAATCTTCCAATTGTTGCCTGCGACCACCAGACCAATCTCCAGTGCTTTTCTGACTAGAATGCAAAGGGGAAGACCCAGCAGACTTGACTCTAAATCTTTCTGGGCTTAAGGATTGAGAATGTTGAAGCTGCACTCCCTGTCCTTCCTTCCTTGCTAAGGCTGCCTTAAGAGTAGCAATCTGGAAAGGAAAGAATAAATAGTAAACAAGAGCTTCACCTCTGTTGTTCTCCCTCCAAATCATCAAGAATAAATTTATTGCACATATAACTCGGAATAATAATATAAGCCCTACTCCACCTGTTCTTTGAGCTCTTTTACATCTGCACTGTCTTTGTTAACTCGAGCGGCACCAAGCTCAACTGTGGAAACACGTTCCGCAAATTTGAGTGTACTAAGTGTTTCTCCAAGAGCTTCAAGCTCGGGGCTAATGTGAACAAACATGAGCGTCTTTGCTTGCCCTCCTGTTAAGGGCGAATCAGATGATTAGACTACACACAAAAAAAGAAGAGAAAATGTCTATGTAAGCTCAAGGTTATTAAACAATCTTACCAAGTGAGTCTTGGAGCAGTTGTGTGAGTTTACTATTTCTATAAGGAACATGTGAATTCTTTTGAGCAAGAGAGGCAATGACATCTCCTAAAGCTGAGAGAGACTTGTTAATATGTTGTGCCTCCTTTAATCTATCTCCTGTCACCTCAGATTTGTCAACTCTTTCACTTCCTGCCAAGTCAACTAGATGCATACAACCACGGAGAATACTTCCAGATGTCAGGTCCTTCCCGTGAACATGAACTGTCAAGCAGCTGTTTATGGTAACATAAGGAAGTCAATGTCTACGGCTTTATGCATATGAAATGTGACCGGAGTTAGTTTAGATGGACTCATAATCACTTCAGAATTTTGCTCAAAATGTTAAATGAGAAGGGAACATGATTCAAATTACAGTGTATCATTAATCTTACCTGTGTGACCGACTACTCCTGTCGTTCATGGCTGTGGCACTCACCGAACGATTCTTATGCCCGAGGTTCATCAAATATATAACATCAGATGTTGATGATACAGGAACAAGGTTTGCATCTGGTACATTAATTCCATTTTGAGAACTGTTACGAATTTCTAATGTATGTTGGAGTTAAGAACACACAGGAATATGATATGTGCATTGTAAAGAAAATAACAATAAGGAAAAGTGAATTAGTGTCATGGCTCATGAAGGATATCTTTTGTTGGTGGCATCCATCGACAGGAGATCCCGAACTTGCTCATTGTAAATTTCAAGCATCTGAACAGAAATTCCATAGCTAATGGTGTCCTTTCTCTGTTCTGATAGAAGAAATAGATCACTAAGTGCTCTATAATTTACACCTTGACTTTCCTCTGTAATGTCTCTCGGTCCAGTCTATATTGGTAAACAAGATGAATCCACAAAATTAGTTCATTATTTTTCAGGAGTCAACTGGCCAAAGCATAAAGATTATACAATGAAATATCTATGCACATATTTTACCATTGTGAAAGTTTTTCCTGATCCTGTTTGGCCATAAGCAAATATACAGACATTGTAACCATCAAGAACAGACCGAATCAGAGGCTGCGTATCTGAAAATACCTCCTCTGTAGTGAAAGAAAAGTGGCAGTGAAAATGCTGACATATATGACAGGTTAGGAATGAACACATAAGCAGATTAGCTAACCTTGGGTTGAAAAAGGACCAAACACTTTGTTGAAACTGAAAGATTTCCGTCCCTCTTTGCCATATTTTGAAGGGGTGATAATCTTAATACTTGTGTCATCAATGTGATCATAAGTACTGGCACGATTTGATTGCCCAGGCAAGAAGGGCCGCACTCGGCAGTATACCCTTATATTTCCTAACCAAAATAATTGATGACCATTTAATCTTATAGAAAGAAAACATAAGTTGATTTTTAAATATAGAAGTCAACACAATTTAAGACCAGAAATATTACCTTTCAAATCCTGGACTTGATTGTATAACTTGCGATTTTCTTCAAGAACCTTCTGGTATCCTGTTGCTGCATGAGCCAAACCGAGCAGGTGCTTACCTACATGGGAAACTAGTTACGGTCCTCCATTGAGAAAGTGAAACAACTTTAAAACATTCTATTTCAGGGAAGCCAAAAAAAGTGAGCACCCTATGCTAGCCTCGTTGAAAAATAAAAAATTAGACCAATGTTCGTTTAAAGTCATACCTAGGCTGTTGAACTCCTCCTGGTACTTCATCTGTAGAAACCGCATTCCTGCTTTTGTATCATATAGTGTATGTTTCAATTCCTACAGAATATTAACAAAAATTTCACCAGTAATTTAGGGGATATTAACAAAATTTGTAGCTGCTAATATGATACAACTGCAGTTTACCTGAATATCTTTCTGCTGTTGGTCAACCAGCATTTTCTGCTTAAAAGACTCAGTTTTTGATCCCTCTTCATTGTCAGATATTTCTTCCTCTTTGATATCAGCTGCGACTTTCTCTTCGATATCAGCCGCAACTTTCTCTTCATGGTCATCTACCTTCATGTCAGCAGAACATTCAGAAAGAGATCTTTCAGGGCCAGACAATGCCGTATCTCTGGAAGCTGTTTTTATCTGTCATTTTAAAAATCAGTACAAGTTCTGTGAGTCAGGAAGCAACGAGCTTTCTTATGAAACAGTAAACCAATGTTGAATAAAGACAGCTTCTTACGAGTGAATTTTGGCTTGCTAGCCGATGCTCAAACTCCTCCATGACTTTACTCAGCATAGATTCCACAATCTGTTAAAAGCAACAGGAAATTGTTTCTCTAAGTAAGTAATGTATACATGCATATATAATGAATTGGAAAAACGAGTGCTCAGGCTGACTGGAAACATGATATTATAAGCAAGAATGTGAACCTTAAAAGACCAAATAATAAACTTCTAGTTCCACTAGATGTTCTCAATATATGGGGAGTGTATACCTATTTCATTGGATGGCAGCAAACTACAGAGCAATTAATGGCCTACTTTCATGACCGAAATGGGTGAAAGTTATTTGATTCCCCT